GGAGCCCAGCAGGTCGAGGCTGCGGTGGCCGGGAACGGCCACTGCACTCCAGTCTGGGCGACAGAGTGAGACTCCAACTCAAAAGAAAAAAAAAGCTGGGCTCAGTGACTCAGCCTGTAATCCCGTGCTTTGGGAGACTGAGGTGAGTGAACTGCCTGAGTCTGCGGGTTTGAGACCCGCCTGGGCAACTTGGCGAGACCTCATCTCTACAATAAATTAAAATAAATTTTAAAAAAATCAGCCGGCGTGATAGCACATGCCTGTAATTCCGGCTACTCGGAAGGCTGAGGCAGAAGGATCGCCGGAGCCCAGCAGGGCCGGGAGCGGCCACTGCACTCCAGTCTGGGCGACAGAGTGAGACTCCGACTCAAGAAAAAAAAAAGACCAAGAAAACGAACAGTTAATCATGCAACCCCACAAAGTCCTTTAACATCTTGTGCTTTTTAGCATCTATTTTCTTCGTGGCCCCATGCGTAGTTCCAGTTTTGAAGTTCACAACCTTCTTCACGACATCACTTTTCGGCGGCGCACACATTTGTGAGTAGCTGCTTTCATCGGCGAAGCGCACAAACAGCAAAATCCGAACAAACACTTCTGATGAACACCTTGAGAACTCCCTCGGAGTGGCGACCCCTTCCATCGAAGTAGACGTGGATAGATTAGTTTTACAAAAACAAGGTCAATTTCCCACTAGTTTTATATGGGTCTCATTTTTTCTGAGCCTTATAATCAAAAATATATTAAAAAGAAGTCTTATTACGTAAATGCACTAACCATATTATAGTATATCATTTATATGCAGCCCACGACAATTCCTCTTTACTTGACATGGCTCAAGGAAGCAAAAGGTTGGACATCCTTGGTAGAGACTATAAATCCCTGACAAGACAACAACCACGAAACTATGTGATGTGAGTAGAGGTGAGAAAACGCAGGCAGACGCCGCAGGGGGTCCGCAGTTGTGGGGAGAGCCTTCTCTGGGCTTCCTGGCGTCCTGGTTTTCAGCCTGAGGACACGTCCCAGCCTGGGTCGTGTGCTGCTGGGACTCAGACAGAAAGCCACAGTCTCACGGGCTTGATAAACCCGAACACAGAGGCCGAAGAAGTCTTTGCAGCTGGAAGAGAGGTGGGCAGAGTAAACTCTCGAAGGGAGAAAGCCACGGAGAGGGAGTCCCCAAAGGTGGGGCATAAGCGCTGGCCGCATGTCGGGCTGACCCCAAGCCACGCACGCCCAGGACAGATCCCAGCAGCTGCAGCCCGGCTGAGGCTGGAGGGAGTGACAGAGGCTTCTG